AGTTACCAGGCGCCAAAGAACAAAAAAATCATATCATTGTGTGCTCACTTCTATGATACGATCGCTGAAAACAAATGGGTGCATAAGCAAACGTGGCGAAGAAAGCTGATGGTGCCCGGCTATCAAAAGATATAGCGTCTGGGGTCTCAAACACTTGAAGGTAAACAAGCGGCTATCTAGCTCAGAAGCAACAAAGCCCACATGGAAGAAGCACACCAGCCTGTGTGATCACGAGGTGTCAAAGGGATCAGGTATAAGGCATCATCAGAACAAAAATCTTACTATAGTGAATGATGGGGGGAGTGTGGAGTGGAGATCCAAAGCCCATTAGTAGGCCACTGGAGATTCCCCTTGCCGAGGGGTCTCCGGGAGGAGACGAGCCAGTCAGGGCGTGATGTAGCAATGATGAAAAATACAACTTTCCTCTAGTTCCTAAATTCTTCCTCCTCCCCGCTCTCCCCCACTGTCATGATCTGAATTCGATCTTGCAAGTCTGGCTAGACCAGAGGATGTACACTGATACAGATAGGAACTGGAAACACAGGGAATCCAGGACAGATGATCCCTTCAGGACCAGTGGTGTGGAGTGGTGATACTGGGAGGGTAGAGGGAGAGTGGGTAGGAAAGAGGGAATCGATTACAAGGATCTACATGTGATCTCCTCCCTGGGGAACGGACAACAGAAAAGTGAGTGAAGGGAGACGTCGGACAGGGCAAGATATGACAAAATAATAATTTATAAATTATCAAGGGCTCATGAGGGGGGGGGGAGGGGGAAGGGAGGGGAAAAAATGAGGACCTGATGCCAGGGGATTAAGTGGAGAGCGAATGCTTTGAGAATGATGAGGGCAATGAATGTACAAATGTGCTTTACACAATTGATGTATGTATGGATTGTGATAAGAGTTGCATGAGCCGCTAATAAAATAATTAAAATAAAAAATTATAATATCTATGCATATACAAGGACGTCCAATCAATACAGCTATTTGTCAAATCTGTGCATCAACCACCAAAGCTAGTGATGAAGAAGTTGAAGAATTCTACCAATGACTTCAGTCTGAAATTGAGTGAACATGCAATCAAGATGGAGTGATAATTGGCAATTAGAATGCAAAAGTGGGAAGAAAGAGGAAGCAACAACAGTTGGAAATTATGGCCTTGATGATAGAGATGAAGCTGGAGATCACATGATAGAATTTTTGCAAGACCAATGACTTCTTCAGAAACACCCTTTTTCAGCAACAGAAGACAACACTTGACTTCTCCAGATGGAATACACATTAATAAGATGGACTACATCTGTGGGAAGAGATGGAGGGGATGCTCATTATCAACAGCTAAAACCAGGCTAGCAGCCAACTGAGTAACAGACAATTAATTGCTCATATGTAAGTTCAGGTTGAAGCTGAAGAAAATTCTAACAAATCCATGAGATCCAAAAGACAGCCTTGAGTCTATACAACTTTAATTTTGAGAGCATCTCAAGAGCAGATCTTACTCATTGAACACTAATAACAGAAGTCCTGATGAGCTGTGGAAGGACATCAAGAACATCCTTCATGAAGAAAACAAAGGTCATTAAAAAGACAGGAAAGAAAGAAAAGAGCAAAGAGATGTCAGAGAAGAAAGAAAATGTTTCGAAAAGATGGTGGCAGCAATTGTACAATCATGCTTGATCCATTTGAACTATGGATTGTTATAATATCTGCAAGAGCTCGCAATAAAAGGTGGGGGACAAGTATGTCAGAAGAGACTCTGAAACTTGCTCTAATCATAGAGAAGCTAAAGCAAATGGAAGAAATGATGGAGTCAAAGACCTGAACAGAACATTTCAAAGGGCAGCTAGAGAAGACAAAGTACAATATTATAATAAAATGTGCCCAAACTAACAGAAAACCAAAAAGGAAGAACACACTCAGCATGTCTTAAACTGGAAAAACAAAGAAAAACTTCAAACCTCGAGTTGCAATATTGAAAGATTCGTAGGGAAAAAATATTGATTGATGCAGGAAGCATCAAAAGCTTGCTACTTGTGATTAAAAATATATGATGAAAGAGAAACTTGCATATGAATTGGATCTGATTTGATCTTTGACATAGAAAAAGGTTGTATTTCCATTTTCCGAAGTGTTATACTAATTTTTCTGTAACTTTTAAACTTAATTTGTTAGAAACCTTTATTTTTTCTTTACAGGGATTCATTTTAGGCAGTTTTATGAGATTATATTCTGAGATACCATAAGACCTCATTATTTCTGACCTCAGTCTTTGTAATGAATCAATATTGATTTCCACCCCACTAGCTGAACTGGTATTTTATAGATTTATTTTACTGTTTGTTTTCATGGGACACATAAGTGAACTGAAAATTCAAAACTATCTATGTTGCTGAAGCTAGACATAAAAAATACTAACTCTCAGACTATTACTCTCACTATAGTTATACTTTGAAAATGTATACGTTATGAGGTGGAGTTGTCAGCTAATGTTCACAAGCTTTTGTTTGTCTTGGAGTCAATTTCAGACTTTCAAATGGTTTTGCTTTGGAAGAAAATTACTAAACACAGTGAGTGTGCGTGCATGTGTGTGAAATAATTTTATTTAAGCTTTATATCCCAAAGCGAAGCAGAGCTGTGTGCCTATTTGTCATTATCCTTGGTGATTTTCTTATCTGACACTATCCCACCAGCTTTATCTCTGGCTATCAAGTTATGTCTAAGTCATCACTGCCACCTCCTCTGCCCTGGGATTTCTTTGTCCTTATCAAGAGGAAGTAGAGTTGCTCATTCACTCCCTTAGCAGATAGAGCCCCATTTAGAAACATTTCAGCCTTTTATTTGGTTTAAAGACTCCAGGAAAGTTTTATCCTCGTAATAAAATACCATATAGTTAAGTATGCAACTAATTGCCTATAGCTAGTTGTAGGTACCTCACATGCAGCTCTTTGGGGCACCATGTGAGTAGAGAGATCTGTGATGGGAGAGGAGGAGAACAGGGTTAGAGTTTGGTTGTAAAAGAAGTATTGTAAACCATGTGTGTGTAAAAGTGTCACTTGAGGCTTCAATAATATAGTTGCTACACCCAAAAACTCAACCCACTGCTGCTGAGTTGATTCTGACTCGTAGGGACCATCTAGGACAGAGTACATCTGCCCCATATGGTTTCCAAGACGGTACATCTTTTCAGAAGCATCCTGCCATGTCGTTCCAAGGAATGGCTGGTGGGCACAAAAAGACCTTTCATTTTGTAACCAAACTGCACCACCAGGGCTCCATAATGAACACAATGTATTTGTATTCTAAATTACTGTTCACAGAAGATAAAGCATGATTACTCACTTGAACAATTCAGGTCAAAGACCAAAGGTTCACAGATAAAAATAATTGCTTGATAACAAGAAATGGGAACATATTTAGAAAATCCAAATACAGCAATTAAGTGTTTGGCTATAGGAAATTGTTTTTTAACTAATTTAGGTATTCCATGGGCTCTAAGTAGAAAATAGAAATGGCCAGTTTATTTAAAAAAATTAAGTTTTAAATTATGAAATTTCTAAGTGGGTATTTTGAACTCTATTTGATTAGTTTTCCAAGCACTAAGTTTGTCTAACCAAAGGATCAAAAAAACAGCAAAAGCATCAAATACCACAACCAGTTAAACCCAGGCTTTCAGCAAAGTGACATTTAAAGTAGATATTGGTTAACAGGTGGATCCCAGGATATTGAGTAGGACATGTTTTTTCTTTCTGCTTGGTAGGGTATCTAGGGTATTGGATATGTCTTTTCCCCAAATTCTTTTAGCATATTGACATCACTGCTTAGAGGTTTGTTCTGTTGACCCCAAGCTTCATTCCTAGTTCAGACAAAAAGACAAATTAGATTTTATTGGTCACTTAAATCTTAATGACAGGAGCTCATGAGACACTGCCCTGAAAACTTTTGTTGTTTTTGTGGAAAGAAAACTACCAATAGCAAGAAAGCTCCAGGCAAGCTATCCACCACTGTCTATCAAAATAAAATGCTTGCCCTCTACCCCAGCAATCCCTCTTTGGGGGCTGTATGCTACCTCTAGGAACCCAGGTGGTTCTGTTGTGTAACACTGGACTGTTAATCACAAGGTCAGCATTACAAAGCCTGCCAACCACTCAGCAGGAAAAATATGAAGCTGCCTACTCTTGTAAGGATTTCTAGTCTTAGAGTCCCCAAGCGGTGATTCACCCACATAATAGAATTTTGTTTTTTGTTAGATGTAGTTGTTTCAGCGTGACTATGATCTACAATGGAATGATGACAAACTGCCTGGTCTGTGCCATGCTCACAATAGTTGCTGTGTTTGATCCCATTGTTGAAGTCACTGTGTCAGTCCATCTCAGTGAGGTTCCTCCTCTATTTTACTGACTACCAATCATGTTTAGCTATTACAAAATAAATAACAATAAAGGGGCAGCTGTGCACTGAGATGAAAATATTTCTAATTAATATTGTTCAGAAAGGAAAAAAGATATAATAATGTATATGGAATACTATTTTTTATGTAGGAAAGGGGGAAATAAAATAACATGTCTGTTTGCATAAGAAAAACTGGCAAAACATATAAAAATTATTAAAAGTCGTTAGGAGACTATTCCAATGGAGTAGGGGCTGCAGGGGACAGGGCAGACACAGAACTAGTGTATAGAGGATTAGTAAGACTTAACTTTATATCCTGATATACGGTTTTGATTTTTTGATCCAGTGTTTATATAACCTATTATTTAAGATAACCTAGTGAATGTATGACAGATGATTAAAATTAGCAAAAGAAGATTTACCCCCAAGTTAGGAGGATGGAAGCTTTGAACACAAATTATACGTATGCTCCTCTGGAAGTAGTTTCATTTACTAGAGGTCTTCAGCCATTTCTACTCAGAACAGTGCCCTGAAGGGACTTTCCTGATACCCTTGTTCAATATTAACATTGTTCAATAGAATCATCTTCTTTATGTGTGTTTTCTATAGATGCCAGAGGAACAAGCATTCTGTGTTTTGGTGAAAATCATGTATGACTATGGTTTGCGAGACCTCTACAAAAATAACTTTGAAGATCTTCATTGCAAATTTTATCAGTTGGAGAAACTATTGCAGGTGAGAACTTTTATCACTTGGGTCTGATGAGTTGTGTAAAAAAAAATCTAGTGTCAATAATGCATTGCAAAATTTAGTAGAATGATATAAAAATGTAAATAGATTTTGTTTCTGACCACTATTATTTATATTGACTTTAATATCATAATATATTTATATAGTAATTTGATCATTCTGTTAAATAATTTAACATTTTGAATATTCAATTATAATACTCTTTGAAGTGGGAGTGTAATATGTTATGTCAAAGAGGACATTGGCATGGAACTAGTTGTAGTGGAATGGCCATATTTATAGAAGTGGAGCAATTGAATAAAAATGTAAGTTATAATAACCAATTTTTATATATTAACACTGTTACATATATGAGTTCATATTGTAGAGAACACATGAAAAAGACAAAAAATATTAATGAGAATTTAAAATGTCTAAAAGCCTTATAATATGTAGCCATATTTAAAGTTTTCTTTAATAATTTTCTGATCTCAAAAATGTGTGTACTTATCATATCTATGTGTAGGCATACATGTAAATGTATACACATGCAAGAAATATTCTTTCATATATACCAAATATCACATAATAAAAAATGTAAGCACAGAAATCTTACTGGCTTAGACTAACAAAAGGGTTTATTGAGTAGTTTTGAAGTTCCAGCTGAGGTTGGATATCTTAAATTTATAATGGGTCTTTTCTGCTTGTAGGACTTTATCTGCAAGGGATGTTAGAAACCTAAGAGAAATGTGAAGGAAACATATAAATCAATTGATTATATATTGAGGAAAGGTAAAACCATTTGAGAGGAACATCAGTGGAAAGGGGAGTATAAGATATTGGTAGGAGTACACCGGCAGGACCTGTCAGAGGACCATCGGTAGCAAAAGAGGAGCATGAAGCTGGTAGAATAACCAAACTAGAACAGGAGTCAAGGATGTTGAGGTTGCAGGTAGGTCAAGAAGTAGCTTTATTAGGAGAAAGAAATGAATGAATATAGAAGGTCTTAAAAATGAAGAAGAAAATTAGAAATGGCAGATAAACTGGTAGGACAATGGCAAAGCGGCAAAGAGGGGTAAAAAACGAATAGATAAACAAGCGGCCATCTAACTGAGAAACAACAGAGCCCACATGGAAGGAGCATACCAGCCTGTGAGAACACGAAGTGTCGCAGGGATCAGGCATCAAAGACCAAAAGCAAAAAATTCATATCATTGTGAATGAGGGGGAGTGTGGAGTGGGGACCCAGGGCCCATCTGTGGGCAATTGGACATCCCCTTGCAGAATGGCCGCTGGGGGGAGAGGAGCCAGTCAGCATACAGTGTAGCAATGATGAAACATACAATTTTCCTCTAGTTCTTGAATGCTTCCCCACCCTCACTATCATGATCCCAATTATACCTTACAAATCCATCTGGACCGGAGGATGTACACTGGTACAGATAGGAACTGGAAACACAGGAATCCAGGACAGATGAACCCTTCAGGACCAGTGGTGAGAGGGGCGATACTGGGAGGGTAGAGGGAAGGTGAGGAAGAAAAGGAGAACAGATTACAAGGTCTACATATAACCTCCTGTCTGGGGGACAGACAGTGGAGAAGTGGGTGAAGGGAGATGTCGGACAGTGTGAGATATGACAAAATAATAATAATTTATAAATTATCAAGGGTTCATTGGGGAGAGGGAGGGGGGAGAGAGGTGTAAAAATGAGGATTTGATACCGAGGGCTCAAGTAGAAAGCAAATGTTTTGAGAATGATGAGGGAAACAAATACACAAAAGTTGTACATTTTTGACACAATGGATAGATGGATGGATTATGATAAGAGTAGTATGAGCCTCCAATAAAATGATTTTTTTTAAAAACTGAGTAGATGACCCTGGCAACAACAGATGATAAGAGGAATGGGCTTTAATTTTTTTTTTAATCTAGTCAATAAATAAGTAGGGTCATTCACACCTGCATAAAAGTTCCTATTTCTTCAAATGTCTGTGTTGTGAAGGACATTGAGAGCTAAATAAATATACCTGCTAAATATAGAGGAACTGTATATTTCTATGAAGAAACGCAACCACATTTTTATCTTATAAATGCACAACCAGGCACCTAGTGAGCACATTTAGGCATCTTTCTTAGGGAACACCTGCATAAGAAATATATTTTTGTTTTGTTTCTTTGTGGTCTGTTAATAAAAACAGAACTGAATTGAGCTTTTACAGATCTTGCCTTTGTTTCTCAGATATGGCGATAAGTATGCTAATAGGTTCTACTTGTCCTTTTATGCTTTAAAAAAGCATTTGCTTATGTAACTTGAAGAGAAGATATTTAATGCCAGCATAAAGGCATTTAGGAAGCATTCAGTTTAACACACAACCACTTGCAAAGGGTAAATCTGCTACACAAGACGTTGAGACCAAAGTGCGCCTGACCCAAACCATGGTATTTTCAATTGCCTCGTATGAATTCGCAAGTCGAACATTGAATAAAGAAGATTGAAAAAGAGTTGGTACATTTGAGTTGTGGTGCTGCAGAATAATATTGAAAGTACCATGGACTGCTAAAAGGGCAACCTGATCTGTCTTGGAAGTGTGGCCACAGTGCTATCTAGAGGCAAGGCTGGCGAGACTTTGTCTTACAGACTGTCAGGAGAGACCAGTTCCTGGAGAGGGACAGCATTTTGGTGGAGTAGAGGGGCCGTGAAAGAGGAAGGCCCTCACTGGATGGTTTGACAACGTGGTGTACAATGGGTCCAAGCCCGGGAAGAATTGTGAGGCTGGTCCAGGACAGGGCACTGGTTTGTTCTGTTGTGCATTAGGTAGTTATGGGTCAGAACTGACTCGATAGTATTCTTTTTTTGTTTAATTATTTTATTGAGGGCTCATACAATTCTTATCACATTCCATACATACATCCATTGAGTCAAGCACCTATGTACACCTGTTGCCCTCATCAGTCTCAAAACATTTGCTCTCTACTTTAGCCATCAATATCATTTGCTCATTTCCCCCCCTCCCCCCCTCCTGAACCCTTCATAATTCATAAATTATTATAGTTTTGTCATAAGTTACACTGTCCGATGTCTCCCTCTGCCCCCTTCTCTGCTGTCCATTCCCCAGGGAGGAGGCTATACTTAGATTCTTGTAATTGGCTCTCCCCTTCCACCCCGCATTCCCTTCACCCTCCAGGCCTCGCCCCTCTCACCACTGATCCTGAAGAAGTCATCTATCCTGGATTCCCTGTATTTCAAGTTGCTATCTGTACCAGTGTACATTCTCTGGTCTAGCCAGATTTGTAAGGTAGAATTGGGATCATGATATTGGGGGGGAGGAAGCATTAAAGAACTAGAGGAAAGTTAAATGTTTCATCGTTGTTACTCTGCACCCTGATTAGCTC